CAATTGATTTTCATTTAAGTCAAAACTACAAGTGTTCAATAAAATTCACTTTAAGTTGTTAAGTAATATAAATGTTCTTGATGAGGGAAAAAATCTAAGCTGAGATGGCTAAATCTTTCTACGTTTATGTATAGCCCTCATATAATCCAAAACTTTCGGTATTTCAAGGATTTTCAAACGAATTCTCCCCCGTATAAATGTAATCTCCAATATGGGAGCTTTAGAAAAATTTGCGATTAAAATGGATGCAAGCAATTTAGTGTCCAGTGGTTTACATCACATTTCCAGTTGTCCAATTTATGTCTGATCTATTCATTTATGAGTAAATATATTTTTCCTGAGTTGGGGTCAAGATTTTATTGGACTCAGACTAAAATTGCAAAAATAGCCGACTCCACAGTCCTCGTATAAAAACAATTCCATGATTTTTAATAAAAGATTGCTAAATGAAAAAAAAACATTGAAATATATTTTAACATTATATTTCTGTAATAATTGGCAATTACGTATGTCAGAATATTGAAGCAAATGTAGTTAAGTTACAAAATACGTTCCAAAAGTAGCAAAGAAATCCACAATTTGAATATCAGAATCCACGCTTATCCAATTTGAAGTGAAAGTGGACTCTGTATTCCAGAATTTAATTTTTAACTTCATGATTCAAACATTGTTTCAGTATAAAATATTAAAAGCAATTTTGCATAATTAAGATCAACCTAATTGTCAAAAATGTCAATACAAGTCTACATTTGCTACAATATTCAAACATTGTATTTTGAATAATAACAACAAAATTATAAATTAAACTCAAAATCATGTAAAAAAAACAAATTGACAATTTTTGTAATCTAAAATACGAGAAATAAAGCATAATGATTATAAATCAAACAAAAAAATACATTTTTTCTTATTATTTCTGTTAACAAAATTTCACCATTATTTCCGAAAACAATTGTCGTCATGGTACATTGATTTATTTGTACATATCCGTCCGTTACATATTTCCGTTGGATTTTGTGTGCACCGATACATTGGCATATAAAATAATTATTTTCAAACTCATTGGAATGCTATAAATGTTATGTTAACAGCATGTAAAGTCAACTAACAGTAGTGGGTGTATGTTTCAGCAAATGTTTCATGTTATGTTTGAGGATATTGTACCACTAAATAAAAACTACACAACACTGCTATTTACTACTACTACTACTAATATTAACAAACTAACAGATAACAACCAAATAATGTATGTGTTCATTTTTTATTTATGATATAAAAAATATATTGAAACAATAAAAAATATTAATTAAATACATGTTGTAAATAATAATAACAAAAAATTAATAATATTTAAAAAAAAACAAATATTTATGCAATAAAAATTAAATTGAAACCACAGGCAAACTTAATAAGACTAAATAGTTTTTAAAAACAGCGACAAATTTTTAAAATTTGACAAAACAAAAAATAAAAAATTTATAATCTAAACTTAACGAAATTATTTATGCGACAATGGTATATGTGAGAAATAAAAAAATTAACTCCAACAGTATTCGAAAATACCACGAGTAGTATTAAAAATGACATAAATAGTAAATATTAAAATGAGAATCGAAACAAAACTTAATAAAAAAACTATTAGTTTTTTAAGAAATAACTAAAACAAATTAGTCTATTGTATTATTTATGTGGTATGTGAACTTATATATGTATATATGTAGTACGAAACTAAACATAATAGTTCAAAAGAAATGTGCTTAATGTTTTATATAAAAAAACACCTACATATATTACTTAATATAAATTAAAAAGCAAAAAAAAAAAATAGGTGAGTTTTGAAGAAACATTTTCAGCATTTATTCCAAGAGATGTTTATATCCTCCGCCTTATGAGGGATATATGCAGAAAAGTTTTAATATAGGTAAACATTTTGATATAGTCTCCACAAAAAAGGTCGGAAATTCCTTTTGGAGACGAAAACCCCCCCTGGCGAGTATTTTAAAAACGCAGAAGGTCAAGCCTTAAGTTAAGTCTTCTTCAATCTAATGAAATGAGGAATATTTTTGTAAAACATATATACTTATTGTATTATTTAAAACTAAATATCAAGAGACATCATCTTGGAAATCCAAATATTCCACTAAAATGTCACTCATAAGGTTTAACATAGTGTCCTCAAAGACTAGAAATATTCGTATGTTTTCGTCGTCCTTTTCCACTTTTACCCGATCCTAGCTCAAAAAACCTTATAGTTCAGCTTGAACGAACTTAATAAAGTGTTTACCCGTTTAAATATATAAATTCGTTTTACATAATTTTTAGATTTTTTAAATAATTTTTTGGAATGTATATCATAGCTAAATATGATGGAGTTTTTACATATTTCTTGGATGGTAAGCCAATGTCCAGAGGTGTGGATTTTATAAATCATTTTTGGAGGGTATATCAAGTCCATTTTGAAAGATATATGAAGGTCAAGTGCGTGTATTTTCTTTGATTATTTCTTTGAAGGGTATGTCAGGGCCAACGGCGTGGATCTTTAAAATACATTTTTGAAGGCTAAGGGCATGGACCTTTTAAAATACATTTTTGAAGGCTAAGGGCATGGACCTTTTAAAATAAATTTTTGGAGAGTATATGAAGGTTAAGGTCATGGACCTTTTAAAATAAATTTTTGGAGAGTATATGAAGGTTAAGAGCTTGGTTGGGGAAAAAGAAATCCATTATTTTTATATGAATTATAGGACTTTATTTATCATGCTTCGGAATTATTTATCATAGAAGTCCATAGAAGTCCAGGCTAAGGGCCTGGACCTTTTAAAATAAATTTTTGGAGAGTATATGAAGGATAAGAGCTTGGACTTGGATATTATGTTGGGAAAAAAGAAATCCATTATTTTTATATGAATTATAGGACTTTATTTATCATGCTTCGGAATTATTTATTATAGAAGTCCTGCTCTCTACTTGCAAAAAACTGTATGACGGATGTATTCAAACTTCCCAACCAAGCTCCCAAAGTTTCTGACGAGTTACTGTATATGTGTATGGTCTAGCGTTGTCCTGGTGGAACACGACACCTCGCCTGTGTCGTAAACGTGAAATTGTTTGATAGATACTTTACGATAAATCTATCACTACAGCCATCTGCCGAAAAAATTATGGATTTTTTTCCCACAACCTAATATTTTCGGAGAGTATATCGAGGTCAGGAATCTTGGTTATTTAAGTAATGTCATCGTGGAACTAAATTGGTTACACCTATAGAACGGATTTCATTTTTTAAAAATTGTTTAGGAATTTGGATGCCTAATGATTGCTTTTTTTAACGTTTTTTGAGGGACTATTTAATCCAAATTCTTTGTGATTTTGTAGGAATTTATTTGAGCAATTATAGAGAACAAAGGCGGGGATTTTTAAAATAATTTTTAAGTGGTTTTCATAGAATTTTATTGGGGCAATACAGGAGAAAAGCTTGGATTTTTAATAATATTTTGAGGGATTTTTTTTCTGTGGGCCATTGACAGGCGTGGATTTAAAATAAAAATAGTTTTTGTGTTCTTTCCAAATCTTGAATTTTAAAACAATTATCAAAATTTGTTAAATTTGTATTATAGCCTCATACAACGGCACCTATCAACTTTCAGTATATTGAAAAGTTTGAAACTGTTTTCAACCAAAATGTATTATAGCCTTCATCATTCCGTATGTGGGGCTACATTTTCTACACGTAAAAGCCCAGCACCTTTATATGGTTCCAGGGGTAATTTCCAACCCAATTGAAGACATTTAAGCTTGGTATTCAGTACTGTGGTGTGTAAACAAATTCTTTTCAGAAGATTTTCACGATAAGTCCATGTTTGTACATTTCTTCCGTAAAACGGACTTGTGTAATTTTCGTAATGATCAAGATTTTATCCCATTTTTTTTACAAACGGATTGTCTGTAGTTTGCTTTTCGTTTTCTCCGGCCAGCAATTTCCCGTGACATATTCCTCATATAAAAGTCGAGATCAAATTTAGGTAGTTAGAATCTACAGCTGATGGTGAATGTAAAAAAGATTACCATATTAAAATTTTTACAGTATTATGATGTAGATTTGTTCAAATCTCAAAATAGCGGGAAAAGTCGGGAGGAGAGTCGTCTTTAAAAACAGAAAATTTTTCGGGGGCCCAGAAAAAACCGAAGTTTTAATTTTTATAATTTCAAGCGGAGCACGGCCTTTTTGGGAATTGTTAAGTTATATAATTTGTATGTGCAAAAAGAGTAGTTGTCCTTTAATTGTTGTAAAAATTTTATTGATTTATAAACTCGAATATAGCAGTTACATTAAAATGAAGTTTAGATATTTTGATATTATTTAGAAGTATTATTATCACCTACTGTCTGCGAGACACACCAGGAAGAATTTTTCACCGACACAGGAATTATTACAAGGAAGAAATTAAAAATGCATCAATATTTTGATGCTAAACGATTTTAAAAATGCTAAATATAGCGCTTAAAGCACTAAATTGGCAACACTGTTTGTGAATCGAAATTTTAAATATCTTTAAAGTAGTTATAAATTCAACAGTTATAAATAAATCTATACAGAGTGTTCATTTCAAAACTCACCATATTTGTTTTTTTGCTTTTAAAATATTGTATATAGTTAGGATTTTTATAATTAATAATAAAACTAAAACATATAAAAACATAATAATATTTTATATACATTTAATTAATATGTACATTGTTTGTTATTGTTGTAGATAATATTTTTTGGCTAAAAAACGATCACTAATATTTTTTTATTTCTTTTTTATTTGCTTTTATTTTTCTGTTCAATATCAATTTTTGCGTTTCATTTTGATGGTTTTATTGGAAAAATATTACGTGCTGCTGGCTGGCTAACTGACTGACATACAACTACACATCTTGCAAAACGGCTTGGCTTAATGTCCATAACACTGTACCTAAAAAACACGCTCATTAAATATATTTGCACCACACCACAGTTGTTAATTCGCATACTACCAATAATGATAATCCCAGCGCTCCACCAGCTCCCAGTGCACCCGCCTTCAATACTGGAGGTTCTGGCGGTCATAGCTTGTATCCCAGCTTGCCTAGCGATAATCGCGGTTCAATGGGTGGTGGTTATCAACCCGGCGGTTACAATCCCGGTGGTTATGTACCACCAGGTTATCAAGGCGGTTATGGTGGTGGTTACACTCCCCCAGCTCCTGGTTATGGTGGCGGACAAGGTGGTTATGGCGGTGGTTATGGTGGTTATACTCCTCCAGCTCCTGCACCAGGTCGTGCTCCCACCAAAGAAAAAGAGGGTGGTGGTTTCTTCTCGAATTTCCTATCCAGTCCTGAAGTTCGGAATGCTGTAACCGGTATTATTGCTGGACAAATTGCCAACACCTTGAGAGGAGGTGGTAATCAACCACAGCCCAACCAACCCAGCGGTGGCTATCAGCCAAGTGGTGGTTATGCTCCCAGTGGTGGTTATGGTGGTGGTTCCTCATCCGGTGGTTCCTCATCATCCGGTAGTACTGCCAGTAATATCTTGGGCGGTTTATTGGGCAATGTTTTGTCTGGCGGCGGTGGTGGCAGCAGCAGCGGTGGTAGCAGTGCCAGCAGCTTCTTGGGCAGTGTTTTGTCTGGTGGCGGTAGTGGCGGCAGCAGCGGTGGTAGCAGTGCCAGCAGCTTCTTGGGTAGTCTATTGGGCGGTGGCGGCGGCTCTGGCGGTGGTCTATCTTCAAAGAATTTCGGTGGTCTTTTCAGTGAGAATCCATCAAAATCCGGTTCTTCCTCATCGTCCTCCAGTTCCAGTGGGGCTAAAAACTATCCCACCCAACCACCAGCATATGGCAACTACATGGGCTACAATGGTTAACTGCAATAAACAAAGCAGAACCCAAAGTTTAATTTTTTGTCATGTAAAAGGAAATATATTGCTTTAAAAAGTTTATAATCGTATTTTTATATCAATATTTTATTTTTTTGAAATTATACTAACATTTGATTTTACTCTCTATCTTCTTTTTTTCCACATAGCCTTAGTTAAATATATTTTTTCATGAAAAGACAAACTAACAAAAATAATTCAAAAAGATAAATAAATATATATACATACACAAGTAAATATGAACAAATACATACTCCTCCTACCATTTAAACAAAATACAAAAAAGTAAAGAGAACAACATAAACCAGTAAAGAAAATATTTTTATTGAATCAAATCCCCCATACCTTCAAATCCGTAATCAATGTAATAATTCTCAGACGATATATATTGAAATTGTGTAAATACATAACTCACTCTTCCGATACTCTTGAAATATTCCATAGAAATTTTTAGAATAAAAGTAAATGAATAAACAGTAAAAAAACAACAACAATCATAAATGTAAAGTGACTTTTATTTGAATATGTTGTACAAAAAAAGGTAAGTTGGATTATCAAAGAGGATGGAGAACAGTATGAAATGGTTGTTTCAAACAGACAGACAGAAGGAGGAACGGTTATGGATACAACCGACTCAGGAAATAATTTGATGTACACGCTCATGTCATGTACAAAAGCATAATACCCTGTGGTTTGTACACTCCACAATAAAGAGGACATTCAAAAATATGTAAAGTCTCAAATTCTACTTTTCTTATATTAAATCGTCATTTTAATTTCAAAATATAGTTTGTGAATTAAATAAAATCAAGTAAAAAATTCAAAATTTAATAGTTTTCTTTGGAGGTTATGGAAATTTATTTATTTATTATTCATTTTTGTAAATGGAAATTATGCCTGAAAGTAGGCCATGGATTAAATATTGTATGTGTTTTTTTTATAAAAGGTTGGTAACACTGGTAAAGACACCCGGATACAACATTTTTTTTCAGCGTACACTTTTACACTGAATTTTCTAAAAAAAAAGTGGCACCGTGTTAAATATTTTGGAATCGATTTATTTAAATTATAAAAGTGCCAAATTTACTGGATTTGAAATCGAGAGATATATAGGGACTTTGTTGGACCATTTACATTAAATCGGACGAAAAAAGCTATATCTAAATCTGAACCGATTTTTCCCAATTTCAATAGGGTTCGTCCTTGGGCCAAATAAGTTACTTGTGCCAAATTTCATCCAAATCGGATCTTAAATGCGACCTGTACTTTGTTCACAAAAATACATGGACGGACAGATGGACAGACGGACATGCGTAAATCGACTCAGAAAGTGATGCATATTCTCAAAAGGAACCATGTGTCTATCTCATTTCCTTTTGCCTGTTACAAACATATGCACAAAGACATAATGCCCTGTACCACAGTGTGATGAAGGGTATACAAATAGAGGATATGTTGTAATATTGTTTTCTGCATTTTGTAACGCCTAAAAGTAGCCTAATAATTTCAAAAGCTGACATGGAAACACAAAGCAAACAATCTGGCAACACATCTGAATTTTTCTGTTTTTGGGGAATTGCAATTTCTTCAGTTTTCCCATCTGCGTACTAGGCAAACAGAATCGTGTAGCAGCTATATTTTGACACATGGTCAATTTCAAATGGCCATAACTCGGCGATGAATGGAGATATTTGAATGAAACTTTCACTATTGGATAAGTAAATTGATGTACTTTTTATGTGTATAGACAAATTCTGAAAAAATCTTAATATTTTTATATTATTTTGGTTCATTTATCGCAACTTGCAATAGAGTCCATTTTTTAAAGAATATTTTTTCAAGTACCAATAGAGCATGCAAGAATATGTTTTTAGTGCAGATAGTGGGAACAATTTTTAATAAATACTCAAGTTCCTTTAGAAAAGCGATTATTTTTTAATACCAAGAGTGGGGATTTTTTACGGAATGTTTTTTTTAACCAAGAGAGTGTGGATTTTTTTTTAAATTTGTTGAAGTGTCTTTAGAGTTTAGATTTTGAATTATACCTTTTTCAAGGTAATATGAGGCGTATATGTATACCCTACACAACTATATTGTTAGGATATTATAGCTTTGTGCAGCCCCAAGAGTTTGTAACGCCGCGAAATATTGGTCCTAGACCCACCTTTAAGTATACCGATCGTCATATCTCGACTAGCTGAGTCGATCTAGACATGTGTGTCCGTCCGTCTGTCCATTATAATTTGTAAACAATGTTATGGACCAAACTTCACGAAATTTTGCATGTATAATGGGTTCTGGTCAATGAAGATCCCTATTGATTTTGGTAAAGATCGATTAATATTTAGGGGATGAAATGGACCGAATACTTAATTTTTGTCGGTTTTTCTGGTCGCTCAAGAGGCCGAAGTTAGGGTCCGAACATCGTGAAATTTTACATGGAAAAGGGGATCGGACCAAAGAATAAGCATGCCTGTTTTGATAAAGATCGGTCAATATTTAGCGGGTCAAATGGACCCTGACTTTTGTGTGAAAAATTAAATTTTTTTATTTTTTATTATTTTTTATACATTTACCCCTGAAGTACATAGAAGTTGCTAGTATATCCAAGAGGAGTCGTTGGCCTTTAAATTGATACCAATTATATTGTCGTATTTACGCAGATGTGGGAGTTACACGTAAATATTTGCAGGCGCTTACGTATTCATATATTATTACCACATTAGAGGGCGAAAATATAGCGCGGATCGCTTAGAAATTTTCTAAGAGGATCAAGGACAATGCCTATAATTTTCGATGATGATCAGGTAATAATATTGGAATGAAGTGGACCGAAAAATTATATTTTTTGTGTTTTTTTCGAGTCGATCTATAGGCAAAAATTGAAAGCCGAACATTACAACACAACCCACGGTAATGGAAATCTGGACAAGTAATTAGAGGGGCTGTACTAAATATTGGTAATAATAATATTTGTTGACCTCTAGTCGGTCATGAGGGAGCAAATATCGCGATGTATTGCCCAAGCTCAGAATGTAGTACCACAGAATGTTAGATTTTCGTGGAAGTTGTGTAGGGTATCATATGGTCGGCCCCGTCCGACTATACCGCTCCACTCACTGCTTTTTAAATAATATTTTTTCAAGGTCTCATATAAATTGTGGGGTTTTAAAGGCTTAATATGTGGCGTAGATCTATTTCGTTCCTTTTTAAAAAAAGGATAGTTCCATTAAATCTCTCATTCATCGATATTTTTATTTATTCCTTGTTGATTCGTTGATGGAAGTAAAAAGTAAACAAATTGAGCAAAAAATAAAAAAATGATTTAAATTAATTTCTATTTAGTAGAATATTCAGAAAATAAGAACAAAACATATTTTTATTCATCTATTTTTTTCATAAATAATTTTATTATTTGCACAATAATAAATTGATGAGCATATTTTCTGACAAACGATGGAGAACAAATGAGGAAATGGAAATAAAGGAAAATTTGCAGATTAGTGAAAGGAATGAGATCAGCAAAAGAAACTATAGGAACTAAAGAACTAGCCCTAGTTCCTATCATACCTTTCCTTTCTGGAACTACATAACTCTAGATTTTTGAAAGGTCTATCTGTCGACAATTCGATATTGTCGACAGATATATAGCTTCAGGTTTTTTATTTCAAAATTATTTGAATTTTACCAATACATTGATTTTCCGTTACGACCGATCAATTTTATGTAGCAGATAGAAACTGTGAAAATGAAAATTGTATGGTTTTCTTCAACGTAGTGGTGCCAGTTTTTTTTTTCTAACTGAAATCCACTATTGAGGATATGTTATCCTATCCTACATATGTATCCTAACAATTGCATGTCTATGTTCCCTCTTTTTTCAACCTATCCTAACTTTAATTTCATTCGAGCAGATTTAGAGTCGTCTGCGTAACATGGGGGAAATTTATGGAAAACGATTTGTAGCAAAATTGATACACGCTATTCGGTATGCCGCGTTGTTAAAAATATAAGCTATATGAGGGAGCTATATCTAAATCTTAACCGATTTTCACGAAAATTAACACACATCTTTTTAAACTTAATTCAGTACGCTATGCCAAATTTTGTGCAAATCGAAGTATATAAAGGAACTTTGGTGCACTATTGACCTAAAATCGGATGAAAATATATATGAGAGCTATATCTAAATCTCAACCGATTTTCACGAAATTTAACACACATCGTTCTAGACTTAATTCAGCACGCTATGCGAAATTTCGTGTAAAAGGGACTTTGGTGCACTATTTACCTAAAATCGGACGAAAATATATATGAGAGCTATATCTAAATCTGAACCGATTTTCACAAAACTTAACACACATCGTTCTAGACTCAATTCAGTACTCTATGCCAAATTTCGTGCAAATCGAAGTATATATAAAGACTTTGGTACACTATTTACCTTAAATCGGACGAAAATATATATGGGAGCTTTATCCAAATCTGAACCGATTTTCAGGAAACTTGACACACATCATTTTGTACCTAATTCATTACGCTGTGACAAATTTCGTGCAAATAGAAATATATATAGGACTTTGGCACACCATTTACCTTAAATCGGACGAAAATATATATGGGAGCTATATCCAAATCAGAACCGATTTTCAGGAAAATTGACACACATCATTCTAGACCTAATTAATTACGCTGTGCCAATTTTCGTACAAATCGAATGATATATATGGACTTTGGTACACCATTTACATTAAATCGGACGAAAATATATATGAGAGCTATATCCAAATCTGAACCGATTTTCACGAAACTTAACACACATCATTCTAGACCTAATTCATTACGCTGTACCAAATGTCTTGCAAATCGAAGGATATGTAGGGACTTTGGTACACCATTTACCTTAAACCGGACGAAAATATATATGGGAGTTATATCCAAATCTGAACCGATTTTCAGGAAACTTGACACACAGCATTCATTACGAT